GGGGGAGAGGCTCCGGGGCTGGTTCTGAAGGTGGCTCGTGGTGCTGGGCACCTCGGCTCATGTTTTGTGGCCTCTCCAGGTGCTCAGAGGAAACGGGAGGCTCAGGGAATGGGTCCCCTTGGCTCTGCTGGGGTGTGTGTGGGGGTCAGGATGGTGAGGTGCCCGCTGCCAGATGCCAGCAGGGGCCAGGTGTGACCCACACCCCCACACAGGGCTCCCCGACTCCCTGGCTCGCAGGGCTTGTGGTGCCGGTCCTCGGGGCTAGCGCCCGCCCCGGCTCTGCTGTTTGCAGGAATACGGCGTAGGGACGTGCTTTCCTTTCTTCTCTGGGATGTATTTTTCATTACAAACGCAGAGCTTGGCTGTGGCAGCCAGAGAGAGAGAGGTTTGCTTGCTTGGGCCCCCCGGGGTGGAAGTGGGCCTCCGACTCCCCTCCCCCCATCCCCCAGCCTCGTGGCTGCCCTTCCCCAGCTCAGTGTCCCTGGCCGGAGGCGAGGGCCCCATCCCGGGTCCTGGGACCAGCAGATTCTTAAGCTGTTGCGCACCATTCTTGATGAAACTCAGGGTCACAGGCTCAGGGTTACCTCTGCTCAGAGAGCACGTGGTCCCATGGCCCCGGGCCCTGTGGCTCTCGCAACCCCTTTCCCGATAAAACAGGTGAGGTATGTGGACATGTTCCTCCCAGTCCTTGGGGGCAAGACTCAGTGTCACATGCCGCTGGTCTGTCATCATCACGGGGGCTGGGGGGCTGGGGCCCACCTGCCTGAGCTAGGTGGCACCCTGGAGGTGTTTAGCGGGCACCACAGGCAGTGGGAACTGCCCTCCCCGGCCCATCCACAGGCCTGTCCCTCGCCTGGGTTGGTGCCCTCTCCCGTCTGCCCCTCTCCCTTCAAGCCTCGCCTCCCCCAGCCTTCCCCCAGGACACATTCGCATGTTATCACCTTGTTCCATCCCTGGTATGTCCTGGAACCCACCTGGCCCTAAGTCAGAGGCAGGCAGATCGGGGTCGTGTCCGCCTTACTTCTCCTGCTGACTCATGGGCTCACGCAAGACAGGGGCTGAGAGCTCAGGGTCCTTGGGGCCTTGGGTCCCGGCCCCACCGCAGGCTGGGCCAAAGGGAGCGTGAGAGGAAGCTGGCTGGTTGGGGCGGCCACTGGAGAGCACAGGGGCGTACCAAGGGGCGCTGTGTGGGGAGGAAGCCCTGAGCCGGGGGCCAGCCCCTCATCCCTGACTGCGGTAGGGCCCTCTGGCTCGCATGCCCGGCCATTCTTTCCCCAACAACCAACAGTATTCATGGGGCGTACCTGAGGGGTGCCGGCCCTCCACTGTGACGGGGGAGAGGTGCAGGGCCGCCTGCCTGCTGGGCCCCTGTGTGTGTGTGTGTGGGGGGGCGGTGCTCCCCATGTGACAAGGGACAAGGCTGGCACAGAGGATCGGCAAAGCCAGTCAAGACCCTAGGCTGGGCGGTGCCAGGCCCACCCCCAGGGAGAAGCCTCCAGCGCCCTGTCCAATACCCCACCCGGCACAACAGCCTCAGCCCAGCCTGGAGGGGCCTGGCCCAGCCTGAGAGGCTGCCGGACCCCTGGTCAGTGACACAATGGCCATAACCTGTTTCCCGTCCTCCGGGCAGAGCCGGGAGGGTCCCAGAAGCTTGAGGCTTCAGACCCGGGCTCCGGAGGGGGGCTGAGGGCCAGAGCTCGAGGTGGCGGCCACTTCGCCGCCGCTGCCGGTCGGGTGCAAGCGCGGAGCTGACCCTCGCTCCGTCCCTCCGGCCTCCCTCCTCCCGCTGCGGGCCCTTAGGGCCAGCAGGTGTGTCGGGGCTCCAGGTGCGCGGAGCCCCACG